GTTACAGGCAAGGTGGGATTTGTTACAGCGCAGCTGGAGGGATGGGGCCCTAGAGATAAAGATAGACATATAATGATGTTCTTGATTTGGATTCCTCCTGGACAACAATGTCCTCTTCAGAAGATCCCTCCCTGATTGGGGGGGGAGGGGGGTGCACATCCCATGCCTGTACACGTGCAGTGTGCGCGCAGTCCCCTGTGCGCGGCGCGGTGTGATCTGAGGACAGCGCATCCTCCACCCCTCTTACATCCCTGTAATGTGCAGATGTTTGCCGGGCGTGGTGCGGGCTCACCGTCCGGTACATTGGCTGGGAGAACGGCGCACCTGTGCCGCCTGCATAGAACCCGATACCTCCTTCCTCCCCCGCTACCTGTTAGCAGGGGCCCGCTGCCATCTCGCGCCGTGCCAAGTATTCGGCGGCCACTGAGCGCCGTCCTTTAGGGGGGGTTGGGGGGTGCATCCAGGTAGACATGTCCCCCCATGGACTCGGCACAGCTTCACTGTAAGGATCACCCTGAGAGCGCTCCCAGCGTTTGGCCCTCCGGAGCCTCGGGTCAGCCCAGAACCGGAGGACTGACCTCATCATGGGCCGGCCCGTTTATTTGTCACGGTGATGGAATGTTTCCTCTGCCGCCGGTCACATGACTATTTCCAGAATCTTCCCCAACAGACGCTTCAAAGCGGCCGAACGGCGTCCCCGCGGGCGGAGAGGTCACTGCAAGCGCTGCGGCGTTCAGAGGGAGTTCTGGGGCCGCACAGATGTTTCCAGGAGGGTATTGGGGCGAATGTGAGGGGTGCAGTATAGAGGAACTACAATTCCCAGCATGCCTGAGGGCCCCTAGTGAGGTCAGTGTGGGGTGCAGTATAGAGGAACTACAATTCCCAGCATGCCTGCGGGCCCTTAGTGAGGTCAGTGTGGGGTGCAGTATAGAGGAACTACAATTCCCAGCATGCCTGCGGGCCCCTAGTGAGGTCAGTGTGGGGTGCAGTGTATAGGAACTACAATTCCCAGCATGCCTGCGGGCCCCTAGTGAGGTCAGTGTGGGGTGCAGTATAGAGGAACTACAATTCCCAGCATGCCTGCAGGCCCCTAGTGAGGTCAGTCCCCTAGTGAGGTCAGTGTGGGGTGCAGTATATAGGAACTACAATTCCCAGCATTCCTGCGGGCCCTCCGTCACGCTGTGTGCGCTGCGTCATGCAGACAGAGGAGGAGGCGGACTGTCCGCGCCCCGCACTTCAGGGACCCCTTAAGATTTTTGTTGTTGCCTCCAAGTAACTCCACACCGGCCCCTCAGGCAGCAAAGGGGAGCCCGGGGACAATAAAGAGAACCTGTCATTTTATAGACACTGAAAACACAGCCAACGGCCACGAAATTTGGGGCTTCACCTCACTTCCTGTCCCGGTGGTCACCAGAACCTCCCCGATGGGGGACAGACTAACCTTATCCTAAGTTGTGGCCGGAGTTCTGCTTTAACTGGCAGTTGGGTTGCATCGCAGGGGGGCGGGGTTTGAGCTCTGACTTGCAGCAAAGTCAGTATTTGCATACGACCTTTCCCGGGTTCTGAAACTTTTGGGGGTGCCGCAGAGTGATTTGGGGGACAACACAGGAGGGCGCGCTAGCATTGCCGTGTCATCGGGATCGGGTTGCGATATGCGCCGCGGCCTTTTGGGAGAGATCACATGACTTTGTCTCCTCCGCAGGTATTTCGAAGGGGGCGTGTCCTCCGTGTACCTCTGGGATCTGGACCACGGATTCGCCGGGGTGATCCTCATCAAGAAAGCCGGGGATGGCTCCAAGAAGATCAAAGGCTGCTGGGACTCCATCCACGTGGTGGAAGTGCAGGTAACGGCGGCTCCGCCGGGCCACAGGCTGAATATGTCATAGACTGCCAGTCTCCTGCCCTTCCCCCTCCAATGCTCTGTGCTGGCGGAGCTGAGTGATGACCACACCCCTTATCACAGCCACACCTCCTCAGCATCACAAGTGTCCTCCCAGTACTGCATTGAATGGTTAGGGGCGTGTCTGACCCAAGTGCTGATTACTAAGTGCACTAGGTCTTCTGTGGTTCCTATTGGACCGCAGCGGAGGTCGCCTCAGCTCGGGGATTACGTTTTACTTCGTCGCGCACCTTCCCGTTCCACTCACAAGTGTCTTCCCGGTTACAGGAGAAGTCGAGCGGCCGCACCGCCCATTACAAACTGACCTCTACTGTGATGCTGTGGCTGCAGACCAACAAGACCGGGTCTGGCACCATGAACCTCGGAGGAAGTCTTACCCGGCAGGTAGGTCCGTCCTCGTGTCCCCCGTCTCCGCCCCCTTCCCGTCTGCCGTAACCTTCTGACCTCAACCCGAAATCTTCTCACTTCCAGATGGAGAAGGATGAAACTGTGATCTCCCTATGGGGCCCCCCGGTCACGTCCTCCCTATGGGGCCCCCCGGTCACGTCCTCCCTATGGGGCCCCCCGGTCACGTCCTCCCTATGGGGCCCCCCGGTCACGTCCTCCCTATGGGGCCCCCCGGTCACGTCCTCCCTATGGGGCCCCCCGGTCACGTCCTCCCTATGGGGCCCCCCGGTCACGTCCTCCCTATGGGGCCCCCCGGTCACGTCCTCCCTATGGGGCCCCCCGGTCACGTCCTCCCTATGGGGCCCCCCGGTCACGTCCTCCCTATGGGGCCCCCCGGTCACGTCCTCCCTATGGGGCCCCCCGGTCACGTCCTCCCTATGGGGCCCCCCGGTCACGTCCTCCCTATGGGGCCCCCCGGTCACGTCCTCCCTATGGGGCCCCCCGGTCACGTCCTCCCTATGGGGCCCCCCGGTCACGTCCTCCCTATGGGGCCCCCCGGTCACGTCCTCCCTATGGGGCCCCCCGGTCACGTCCTCCCTATGGGGCCCCCCGGTCACGTCCTCCCTATGGGGCCCCCCGGTCACGTCCTCCCTATGGGGCCCCCCGGTCACGTCCTCCCTATGGGCCCCGTCCCATCTTCATATTCATTCTTTTTTTCCAGGACATGGAGAACAAAATCCGAAGCACCCTGAACGAGATCTACTTTGGGAAAACCAAGGACATAGTCAACGGCCTGAGGTAACGTCGGCACTTCCTGCGCCCAAAGTCCGGGGACCCCCAATCTCTTCCCTCTGTCCCCCCAGAGCTGGACAGATCTCAGGAGCCGGGTCACCACATGGAGAATGGTTTCCTGTCTATGGTGTCCTGTGGCCCCGGGTTCTGTTGGGTCTGAGATTGGACTGGCTTTCCTTAAAGTACCAACACGGTTCTTCCGGAGGAGAGTCCAAGTGAAGGAAATCTTCCCCGGGGGGGGAGTCAGCCAATCCTAAACCCGACCGGTGCTCCGCCTCCCCCATGAGGGAAGGGTTGGGGGTTCACCTGTCAGGACGGCTTCCTCCTGGAAGTGTTACATCCGACATTGGCAAACCGGACCCACCTCCAGGACCGCCTCCAGCCCCAACTACCCGGTCCTGACAGGTTCTCTTCCATCTGTCCCGA